GCCATGGGGCAGCGGGTCTGCCCCACCGCGGAGGGCTCACCGTCGGCTGGAGCAGCTCCTGGGGCTGAGTGCGGTCCCTTGGGGCGCCGGTGGGGGCTGCCCCCCTCGTCCCGAGCCTGGTGTCCCAGCTCCCGTCGGGGCAGCGTGGGCTAAAAGCCCCCCAGACGCTGAGGTGGGAGAGCTGTGCCCTTCATTTTTCCTACTTACCCCGACAAAAATGAGCCGGGCACTGCTGTGCCTTGGCTCCCCCTGAGATGGAACTGAATGAACCCCCCCCCCAAGATGGACGGTGCTCCCCGGCAGCCAGACGATGCAGGCAGCTTCCTGCAGAGCCAAGAAGGCAGGATCAGCAGCGTGGCCTTTGGGTCCCATTTTGACCTCCAGCCGGTCCATTCCCAGGCAGAGCTGCCAGTGTTTCCCCCAGCGAAGGGGGTGTTGGCAGGTGCCCCCCCTGCCGCTGACCCGCTGTCTCACAGGGGGTACTCGAGGGACGCTGAAGGCAGCTGGTTCCGCTCCCTCTTTGTGCACAAAGTGGATCCCCGCAAGGACGCCCATTCCAACCTCCTCTCCAAGAAGGAGACCAGCAACCTCTACAAGATCCAGTGTGAGTGGGGCTGGGGGGTGAACGCAGACAAGAGTGTTTCCTTCTGTGCTGGCCCCTCCTCACTCATGGGGACCCCCACCTGGCTGCTCTGCCTTGGCCCCCGCCGCCAGGTCCCTGGCAGCCCCTCTCTCCTTTCCCCGTAGTCCACAACGTGAAGCCGGAGTGCCTGGACGCCTACAACAGCCTGACGTGAGCCCTGCTGTGTGTTGGAGGGAGCACTGCCCGGCATCCCAGCGGGCTGTTGCGGTGCCACTCTGGAGCACAGGGGGTGGAGGGGCCTTCTGTGGAGTACCTTGAGACCCTGGGTGGGTCTGTGCCCCTGCTTCTTGACTCAGTTTACCTCCCTGTGAAGTGGGTGCAGCCCCAGGGCACCTTGGGGTTCTGTTAGGGCAGACCAGTCCATGCACAGACCCCTCAGCTGGGAGGGAAAATGGGTGTATTTTGGAGTGATTTCGCCCTCCCCATCTGCTCCCCCTGTGCCCTTGCAGAGAGGAGGTGCTGCCCAAGCTCCACTCAGATGCCGACTATCCCTGTGACCTGGTGGGGAATTGGAACACGTGGTATGGCGAGCAGGACCAGGCAGGTGAGAGCAGGCAGTGGCTCCCGGTGCCTGCGCTGCTGGAGGGGTGAAGAGCAAAGGTAGAGCCCTCGGCTTGTGCTGGGGGCTGGCTGTCATGCAGGGGGAGAGGGGTGGGAGCTGCCAGGTGGGCTCTTGGGGCACTGCCCTCCCTCCCCAGCCCTGTGCTGTCCTTCCAGTGCACCTCTGGCGCTTCTCAGGCGGGTACCCAGCACTCATGGACTGCATGAACAAGCTCAAGCAGAATAAGGTATCGCTGTGATCAGGGCGAGCTGCCTGAGCTCTGCTCCTCACCTCTGCCTGGCACCCCCTCAGCCTGGTCGTGCTCACCCCCACCCCAAAACCCCTGTCTGGGGCTGTCCCCAGGAGTACCTGGATTTCCGCAAGGAGAGGAGCCGCATGCTGCTGTCCCGCAGGAACCAGCTGCTCCTGGAGTTCAGCTTCTGGAATGAGCCCCTGCCCCGACAGGGACCCAACATCTACGAGCTGAGGACCTACAAGCTGAAGGTAAGCGTCCGTGGGGGGCCAGCCCACACCTTGGGGCAGCCTTTGGACCCATATACCCCTGGGGTGCGGGTCCTGCCTGATGTTTCGGAGGGCAGCCTTCTCCAAATTCCTCGGTGAGGAGACCCCAAGCAGGGGGAGCAGGCGGGATCTGGCTGCTCACTCTATTTTTTTCTCCTCAATTTCCAGCCAGGGACCATGATTGAATGGGGCAATAACTGGTAAGAGACTGTTTTTCGGGCACAGGGGTAGCCAAGATGGGAAAAGGTCCCCTTGGAGCAGGGTGGGGCCCCTTGTGCAGTTACCCCCCACCACGTTTCTCCTCCTGTGCGCCAGGGCTCGGGCCATTAAGTACCGGCAGGAGAACCAGGAGGCAGTCGGCGGGTTCTTCTCCCAGATAGGGGAGCTGTATGTTGTGCACCACCTCTGGGGTAAGTGGGCTCCCCGCTGCCCATGTCCCCCCTCCTGGGGCACCCCCACATTGGGGCTGTGCTGGGGGGGTCCCTGGGTGCCAGTCCCACCCCCTCCCCGCAGCCTACAAGGACCTGCAGTCCCGGGAGGAGACGAGGAACGCGGCCTGGAGGAAGAGGGGCTGGGATGAGAATGTGTACTACACGGGTGAGCGGGACCCCCTGCCCGCACCGGGGACCCCTTACATGCTGGGGACCCCCTGCCCTCACCTCTCTCTCTCGTTTCCTTTTCCAGTCCCGCTGATCCGGACCATGGAGTCACGGATAATGATTCCCCTGAAGATCTCGCCCCTGCAGTGAGCGGGGCTCTGCGCTGGGGTGTCTGCCTGCGCCCGGAGGGGCTCGCTCCCTGCCTGCGTTCCCTGCCTGCACCCCGGCCCTGCTGGGGAAGGGCTGTGGGGGGAGGGGAGGTGTCTCTGTGCCCCCACAGCTCCTGGCTCTCCCCCACACCCTGTTTTGGGGTGCCCTGTGAGGGATGAGAGCGGTGAGGGGTTTGTGGCTGGGGAGGGGAAGGGCGGGAGCCCCACATCCTGCGGCAGGGGCCGGCACTGCCCAGGGAGCTTGGGCAGGCTGCAGAGATTGGGGGGGGGGGG